CCAAATTGGAAGTGCTTCAGACTAGGTTTTTTACCTTCTTTTGGATCAACAGCAACAACATATGTGAGGAAGGCTGAACTTGATGGACACAAGTTTCTTTTCAGCTATGTAACTATGTAAATGTCAAACTCTAACCTCGACTTGCAATTTCTACCTAAAAATAACCTAACTCCAACAACAATTTACTTACTTTACAACATCCATTATTCTTGGCCCAAATGGTCCATTCAGCTATAAATATGCATACTCTTACTAGTAGCACAGGTTTATAATTTTCTCCCCTGCCTTTCTAAATTACTCAAGTATTGCTAGCAAGAATTTCGTGAAAAACTCTGCTACAAATTCCAGGTTAACTCTAACCAATAATTAACATCATGGAGAAATTATGCTGCCTACCCTTTCATCAACATTCCTTTTTTATTCATGATAATATTTTTGTTTGCTAAGGCCAACAACAGCTGGAGACTCGCTGATTGGCCTTGATGTAAAATATCTAATTGTGGTGGAATTATCATTGTTTAACACATCCAAATGTAATCATGACAGTATTATGTGATGACTCTGCAGGGAATTTAAACCTCTTGAATAAAAAAAAAAAAAAGAGATTTCCATATTTTCTACTTCTTAAGATTGATAAACTGGCTTTTCTTCCGTTTCAACAACTGATATCTTTATATATCTTCCTTTCTTATAGACCTCTATTTGTTTGGACCCTTAACACATATGTACATACGGCATCTTTCTGGGAAAAGATAATGTGTTTCAGAATATAGGTCATTAAGCCCTGACTGATATGTTTGCACACTTATCCGTGATTACAATACAAGTACAATCTAAATAACCTGCCAAGTTGTGTGACTCACCTCCAGCCCTTTTCTCACATTAAATCTTTCCCGATGACTTATTCTACGGTTGAAAGAGCTTTTAATTGATCCCCAAACACACACAAAAATAACCCGTCCACTGCTGACTGATATACCAACCATACACACTATGAGGATCCTAGCACTAAAAATATGCTCGTTGACGTGTCATTTTCATTTTTAAAAATCTTTATTTACTTATTACATGATTAGGTCTTCTTTTTTGCAATTCTGTTCTTCGTGCTGAACTTGCAGCCTTTTTAAATGCAATCTATTTATTCACAAATACTCTTTCTTGCTCATAACATTTAATAACCTTTCAAAACATTCTCAGCCTTTATCCATACCCAATCCTCCAACCTAATTATTTCAATAAACGTACATTGTCTGTTCCAATTATGATTTAATCACACTGTATAAAATATGTTGGGATTTTTTTTTTTTTCAGAGAACGTACTGGGTTTGATACATAAAATAAAGGGTAATTTTTGAACCATGAAATTGTAAGTAGGAATGATACTTTAAAAAAAAAGAAATTCTATTATTTGTATATTTCTATACCTTAGCTTTTAGCTGGCATTTTATTACATATTGATATTTCACTGATTTATCTTGATATGTCAGTCATTGCTCGCATTATTCCAGCTTGCAAAGATTTAAACTGCAACATACTAAAATAACTCGGAGAGGAATTTATGGCGCAATATGTTATACGGAAATATAATTACTGTGGTAAGTGCGCCACTATAAAAGCATACAGGTGCCAACAACTTTATTTGATATATATTTTCTTTTATTAATATATATTAAAGCAGCGCTTTCAATAGAATTTTCCTTGCACAACAGACACATTTGAAGAAAGCTGTTAGCCAAAATTTAGGTTGTTAACCTTTCATCCAATGTATCCTGTCGATTGGACTGCAGCTAGAAAACACCAGAAAACAAAAAAAAGCCTCAAACCCCATTAAATAAACAAAACATAAATACCTTTATTTCTTCATAGCAAAAATAATACAGACACAAGGAGAACAACAACAACAACAACAACGAGAACAACAAAGTAGAGAATTTTGGACCACTGTCTTAAGCATTTCATGGTATTGGCACTTGCTCCGAGCCTCAAGAGACTGTCTCAAACGAAGTGCCACAACGAAGGGTACAATTTATGGAAATGGGCTGCAAAGGGGTATTCAAGTGAAAAAAGGTTGTGAACCCCTGTTATAAGGGTATTTTGTTAATTTGTTTTGCTATATATTTGTCCTTAAATTGATTTATGCTGCGGTTATTTAATCATTTTATGTATTGTTTATCTGCTATAACTTGCAGCTACACTTACAAAATAAAGATCACCCTTATGATTTAGTGTGCACTTGCTTCTTTTAGCTCTTAAAACATGCAAGTCAAGTTCTGATCAGAAGCACTCATGCTGACACACACCCCCATTTAAAAATAAATATTCTTTTTTTTGTACAATTCACGTGACATTGATGAAAAAAAAATGCATTTATTTTCAACCAGATTTTACAGTACAGTGTATTTATTTTAGAAATGCTTATCTCTTGCTTAATTGAACTATATTTTTACATACATGATGTTCTTGTAGGCCCTAGCAGGAAAATTTCAGATCAGAAGATATGAAATTCAAAATTAAACACACTGGGCAATAATGGAAATAGGAAGTGTGTAGGGAGACTGTGTAAGTCACATGCAGGAGAGGTGTGACTAGGGCTGCATAAACAAAGTAAAGTAACTTTTAAGTGGCAGAGAACTGAGCAATGAGACTGCATGAAATAATATATACACCAAAACCACTTAATTAAACTAAAGTTGTTTTGGTTCTCGGTTAGTTTATCGACAAAGTCTATGTTCCAGCACTGAATCTGCCTTTGTCCTTTTGTTATCTCAAAATCGGGATACTGGAAGACTTGCAGAATTCGGTAGCAGCTCCTCTGATTGTCTGAGAGCCATCAGCCAATCAGTGATTCCCCATTCATAAAACTGGATTGAAAAAGGTACATTTCTTTTCAAGCCAGTTTTTTGAATGGGGAGTTACTGATTGAAGGAAGGATAGAGAGGCAGGGAGATTCGATGCTGGAACACAGACTTTTGGGGAAAAACCATTTGTGATCGGTTTAACCTATTAAGGTGAGCTAGTGCCACGGACCTCCTAGCACCATAACAATTGTATTTTAATTAAGTTATTATGGTGCCTAAACTGTTCCTTTAACTACTTAACAGTGACAATGTAAATGAAAAAGTCAATTATATTGGATTGGTTACCAATGAACAACATGTTTTAGCAATAAACACTTGGATATGTGAGATCAAAATATGTAAACAATTTCAAAAGAGGACAATACATCAAATTCTAATTGTGCTGGTCACAGAAACGTAAGTGAGCCCCCATATCTAACGATCATTAAACCTTTTTGGGAAGTTTTAAAGAGTAGAGATGAAAGTAAATGTCTGCCCTGTTTGTGCCTCAAAGAACTAATGTTTTTGTTTTCCTTCCTGAATTTTACTTTTTTATTTTGGTTAATGTATTATTATTATTATTATTATTATTATTATTATTATTATTATTTGTGGGAATCATTTCGAATATTCTTTCTACAAAGAACATGTGATTTAAAATAGGTAGCAAAGGTTTTGTATTCTATTTAATTCAAAAACATGTTGTTACCTCATTGTTTAATTAAAAGAAAATAGAAGTAAAATATGCTAGGTATGTGGAATGTTCCTTCGCTATTCTGTAGTTAAACATCACTGACATAATAATAGTTATATTCTGTGCAATGATGCAATTTATTTTTCTGTTCTATATTTGTATGGCGATAACAGTGTCTGAATTGACACAAACATAAAAAGCCCAGTGAAGGCAAATACTGTTATTAAATATAATTGTTCTTTGTAGCTTGTCCAAGTCATGAGTAGGTTCCATACAATTTCAGTGTTTCTGAAATAAGGACTTACTGTACAAAGATTACTAATAAAATAGTTAAGATCCATGGCATAAAATGATGGTGTGCACAAAAATAACAAGCTTTAAACATATATGTTTTTAACAGAAAATATATGTTTAAATGTGTGACTCTTACTAGAGACATGTTTATAGGCACACTCAAAATGTCACCGCAATTTTTATTTATTGCATCCATTGTGTTGCCTTATCCAGCGTAGAAGGGCTGTTAAGTTGTTTGTTATTTAGATTTTGAATATATATATATATATATATATATATATATATATATTTTAATATATTGTTTTGCATTTTTAAATGTTGCATTGAAATTTAAATCAACTCCTGCCATGTGTGTCTACTAACATGTTAACATGTTCAATGCAATCTAAACATGTAAATGCTATCTGCATGACCAATGTGGAAGGGTCCTGCTTTATAGCAAACTGATTAAGGGACAGTCACTAAATCAAATTAGTAACTAAAATCATAAATATGACATAAATAAGTCTGCTACACTGAACACTTACAATTTGTAGCCAAATGCTCAAAAGTAAGCAAATGCTCAAAAAAGACCAAACATGTATTGACCAAATGTGAACTGAGTTTGAAAGGTAAAATACCGTTCTATTCGGTCAGAATATAGTTGACCGAATTCCAGTTTGAATTAGCTTCAATAAATATAAAATTGCAACTGATTTTTAATTTTCTCTATTCTTTTGCCTTCTAAATTAGCAGAGAAGTCTGTAGTTGCAGCAGCTGTGTAAGCTAGACTCACAAGTAGTAGTAACATGTTTGTAACAAATGCAAGGTGTCCCCAAACACATAATGATAGCTTCTAGAACCTTAAAAAGCAAGTAACGGAGAGATATAGTTGTAGAGAGGTATATAGAGAGGTATTGTTGGTGCCATCAGAGACATTCTTTACTGAGCACGTACAGAGTACCAAAGTAGTGTCCTCAATATCGGGTCTTGGTGGTGGTGATAAATCTGTTGATGATGACATTGCTCTTTCCAACACCATTGCATGCACAGTTTTATTATCGCGGTTTCAGGAGATCCTTGACTATGAGCGAGTGGAATTAATAAATTACTATTTTCTCCTGCTAGTGTTGACCATTTTTCTGGCTGCATATTCTCCACGTAAGTGGCAAAGTTCATCTTTAACTGCTTTTGAAATGCCTCATCTACAATCAGCAGCAGACCCTCCCTCCCAGACTCTCCCACCTCCTGGACAGCATCCATTTTACATTCATTGTGAAGCTGCATTCTTAGTGAGCTGTCCAGGAGGTGGGAGGGTCTGGGAGGGAGGGTCTGCTGCTGATTGGCTGGAATGTGTCTGCTGGCCGTGAGGTACAGGGTCAAAGTTTATGTTTATGTTCGCCGTCCGCGGCGAACCGTTCGGGACATCACTATTGACCACCATCACCTGCACCACCACTAAAACTTCCACCACGACTACTATCACAACCACCGCCCTTTCCAACAGAATTGCATTGCTCAACCAAATGCTAGTGTAGAGGCTCGTGCTAGTTAAAAATCAAATCAAGTTCCTCTTGCCTAGCTACTGCCAGTGCTGCTTACACCAACTTAAAAAAAAAAATTATTTAAGAAGTGGTACAAGATATACAGATATACAACAGTAATAGACAAAACACCATGTTGTTGCACCCATTTTTAAAGGTAACAAATAAACCATAGATTCATTGCATTAAAACAAGGCATAGACTATGTATATTTTGGGAAGTGCATTTACAGAAACACACAATTTATATAAGCGTATCTCCCTGTGAAGCTTGAAGTTTATATTTAATACTTAACAAAAAAGAAAATAATAAAAGAAAAGTAAATCAGGATTCTCACTGAGAGACCGGCGACACACAATCTTTGTTACCCCAAACTCTGCTATCCATTCAGCTCTTCACGTGGAGCCCATACTTAATCAAATGCCTGCGTGTATCTTAGGCATGAGCTTGTCCATAAGATAATTCTCTTTTAATTTTGCTTTAACTTCCATCATATTGGGACTGTGTCCTGCAGCCAACCTGCTGCCAAAGTTCTATGTGCTGCTAGGTTCAAGCTTTTAAATAGTTTCTGGCAGTGTGCCAGCAGCCACTCCTTTGGTTTAGACAAGAGCACCAATCTAAGTAAAACATTTCACAGACCCTTGTCTAGAGAGCTTATACACTCTCTCTAAAGGGAACAATTTGCTGGCATTCCCACCACATCTGGGTGTTGAACCTTTATACCCACTCTGTCGATTACACAGATCTGTAGTGATTCTCCCCATTCTAAATAGCTTTACAGGAGTAGCGTACCACCTCATCACCATTTTGACCGCTTGTTCCTATAATCCCACAAAGATGGAAACTTTTTAGATTTTGCTTTCCAAATGTCCTGCCATACCTTCACTTCCTGGTTCCCCATAAGTCTTTCTTCAATTATTTGACATAAGCTAGTTTTCCACACACTGTACCCTCAGTAATAGCATTAGCAAATAGCATTATACAGTAAAGATATAAGCCCCTTCTGACCCTTTCCCTAATCGCATAAAGATTAAAAATAAGTAGGGCTCTGTGGCTTCATATTTTGGTTGGAGCGGGTCATCTTCGCATAGCTCATCGACAGTGACTAAGATAGAGTTTTGATAGAGATGTTTGCACCTCGGATTCCCGCAAGCTTCAATCTAGCAAAAACATTTGTCACCATACTCGGGGGGAATTTCCTGTTACACAGTATGGGTATAACTAGGGATAGACTAGATAGCAAGCCTGCCCTTGTCTTGACTCTGTCCCACAGTTTGATAGCTGGATAGTTTTAAGGACGCCCATGTATTTTTTTCAAGCCATATGTAGAACAAAGGTAGGTCAGAGCCCATTAACCTGGATTCTAGATCCACCCAACACTGCTCTCCTGGAGAGGCATGTCACAGGACCACTTGTACCATCTGCCTCATAATACATGCATCTACATGTACATGTAGATTGGTGCATCACTTCTCTAGCTACCATGTGACGTTTGTTTTCCTATATAAAGTTATCTATTGCAGTCTGTAGTCCACCCAAATCACTGCTCCTCAAGAGCACTGGGAAGACCTGAAAGAGGAACATCAAGTAGGACATTCAAAATTCATTTTGATGACATGCACTCGCCCCATCCATGAAATGTGCCTAGAGTCTTATCTATCTAGATCAACCTTGGGAGTAAGGAACATAATGTTGTAGTTAGTTGGTTCTTGTATACTGAGGTCTGCAGTTAGTTGATCCCTAAATACTGGAAGGCGTGTGGTTGTGCTTTGTTACACCAACTTTGATTCACTGATTTAGATGTGATTTTTTTTTTCAGTGAGAGACAGATTATTTGAGTTGCATTGCGCTTCAGTGCCACTGCTTGTGCTTTGCAAATTGTATGATTCTTCCCTCAGTAATATGCAGTGTGTGGTAGTTTACAAGTGTAGTAAACTACCACACACTGCATATCACTGAGGGTTATAGATCTTCTAAAACATGGTACTGGTGGTGGTGCATATTACCGAGTGCTGTAGGTCTTCTAAAAGGTGGTACTGGTGCTGGTTGTAATGTTTTTGAATACATTTCATTGTAGTGATTTCACCCTGTCTGAATAAATCTTGTGGTGTGGCTATGCCTGCTACCTCTGCAGACACAGTTGACATAGGCTGATAGGGCACTGTTTTTGCCATATTGAATGTTGGACACTTTTGTTTCCCTCAGGAAAAAGTGAGTAGCCAACTAACAACCCACTCATCCCTACTACCCTAAAAAGAACAAAACTTTTGCAAACATCCAGTTGGTAGCATGAGTTATAATCCTTCAGTGTGAAAAAAGCAGTGGCTTTATCAGCGCCTTCCAACTGTGTCTGTGGAGAAAGCACCACAGGACTTGGCCAATCAGGCCAAAAATTACCACAATGATAGGCAAAAAAAAGGACAAACACAGTGCCATAGAAGCAGCAGCAGAAGTAATTTAATTTCTGCAGGACGGTCACTGACTCTAGAGATTGGATGTGTGGAAAAGCTTACTTCTTTTCAAGGTGAAAGGAATGAGTGCTCACTGACGTTTTACTTTCATTTTTTGAGAATTTCCCTTGTTTTCATTAATTAAGATGGCAAAGATTCTGACAGCTCAGAATTGGCATTGCAAAAATGCCTGATATTGTGTAGCAATTAGGCTAGGGAAGTAGGAAATATTGTTGTTGTTGTTTTTGCATTGCACACACTAATAGGATATTTTTTCCCAGCCCTTTGGCACATCTTAATCTTGTCCTTGAATTGAACTGCTACATACACAAGGATCGTACTAGATAAAATAATTTTCATTTTTTTTCTGGTAAAGTGATTCAACTGAGCTGAATTTGTCTGCTGAGCACAAGTCTAGGTCACATGTCTACCAAAAAAGCAACAAATATTATGAAATTATTTGATTTACAGACAATGTAACACAACTGGAGGATACAAAAGAGGCATTAGTTTTCGTTGTTTTTTATCTTGAGAAATAATGTTACCAACCAGCCTCAGATCAATTCTTAGTGAGTAAGCCTTGAAGTGAGAATTGGTAACAGATAACAGTTAATACTACATTGGCGTTTCTAAAAATAACACTGTGTATTTTTTTTTTTATGATGTCCCCATTCCAATCAAGAGAAAGGTTAAGCTTTTGAAATCCAATGAATAATTGCTCACTATTACCTGACTTCAGAAGATTATCTTACTAGACAGACAGACAACCCTTTCTTTTATTCAGCTCTTGATTATTGTAACTTAACAGTCTAAACATCTCACATTAACTGCTTTGTAGTAACATGTCATAAAATACAGACAGATGTAATTGCTTTGATAACTGTAATTGGTGTGCTGTTTAGATCTCATTGTCAATCAAGGGCATTTATCAATCTGGAGAAGAAATCTATGTCTGGACATTTGTAATCAGATCTCTCATTCTGTTAAAGATATGGGGCAACAGAACGTATCCTAAAATTCTTCAAATTTTAAACCAACGGTAATTTGTTTGTAAAAATAATGTTTAGCACTGTGTAGAATATTTTATGAAATTTTTACATTTTTGTAGAAATGAATTGTTACAGAAATAAAAACCAACACAACTCTGGCTTAGTTGTAATGAGGGTTTAGAAAAAAATATATTAAATGTTGTAGTGGTTATGGTGCCAGGAGTGCTCTGTTGTTGTGCCCCCACACACACTGCAAGCAGTCAAACCATTTTAGAACGGTTTTATTTCTTGACTGGTATACGCCGGATGCCGCTCCCTGCCTCTACTACATCCTTCAGTGAGCTGGAAGATAATGCAGGGCTCAGATCATTCATTGAGATAGGTCAGCTAACCCTCTCAACCAATGAGTCGTCCCTGCACTGAAGGGCTTAGAACTTCCAGCTCTTGCAGGGGAGAGGAGGATGCTAACGGTACCTGGCAAAGCCCAGGTGAGAAGTCAAGCTGTTCTAAAATGACTTGACTTCTTACAAATGTGGAGGGGTTGACAGGGCAATCCTGGCACTATAATCAATACAATGTAGTGGTTATGGTTCTTCCTTTAAGCAAATGTCCAAAAAGGCCTTAGTTGCTTAAGCATTCATCATCAGATGATTTTATTGGATATGAAATAACAGAATTATGAATTACATGTCATTTGAAAATAGAAGAAATTAAAAGCAAACACATTTAAATATATACATATACATATGCATGTGCTCAAGATCCCCATCAATAAGGCGATGTTTGTGTTGAACAACAATAGCATATGCTGAAATCTCATATTCCCATCATGTCTGCAAACAATGGATCAACAATTGTGTAGAGAGCGATGACAGAAAATGATGAAAAAAAAAAAAATGAAATAAATAAAACTATTTTTGTCTTGGTTTCTATGGAAACTAACTGCACAAGGTTTGAAGATTCCAGACATGTTTAGATATAATTTGTTGTTTGCTAAAGCACAAATATTAGATAAACTTAGGCAACTGATATCTATTTAAGTTTCTAACAATATTTTTGGTGTGCAAAATGGAATTTTGCTGTAAACGTGTAATGTAATTTTGCAAAATAAAAATAGCTAATAGTATAGCATTGCAATACAGCATTGCTTAATGAGTTTAATCTTTAGAAAGTAATTATAATATTAGATTTTACAATATTTTTACATTAGTTTAAAATAATCTAGAAAATAGTGGGAGGCTATTGCGCATGCGTGGCAAAATCAGCATCTCTTCATAGAATTGTATTAAAGCAATACATCATTATAAGGATAGTTCAGCGCCTCCATGCAGAGAGTGGAGATGCTGAATGCCAGTGCTGCACATTGTGCAGCACTGACACAGGAAGCACCTCAGGTGGCCATCTGAGGGACTGACACTAAAAGTGTCACTAGGCAGCAATGTAAACACTACCTTTTTCTGAAAAGGCAGTGTTTATATTTAAAACCCTCTAGAGACAACCTACAAATACCAGAACCACTACATTAAGCTGTAGTGGTTCTGGTAACTATAGTATCCCTTTAAGAAGCTGGGCAGTGCTGCTTTTCAGTGCATCAGGTTCGTATTATTACTACATTAAAAGAGAACTAACACATTCTCCAACTCTGTGACCACACGTAGTTATAAAAACTATTTTTTTTTCTTTTATCTCCTAATTGTAGTGAATCAAAATCTCTACGGTAAAATTATGATAAAATAGCTGATCTAGAAATATTCACCAAAGCAGCCATAAGCCTGAACTTTGTCATTTGGATTTTAATTTTCTCTAGTTTAGAGTTTAGGGATTAAATGTTTTTACTAAAGTGTGATCCAGTTAGTTATATTTCCCTTGATATCGATCAGAAAACACGAGATGTCTTAATCAAATATTTTTTTCAAAGGCTTATTTTTTTTTTGTTCATAAGTACTGCAGCTTTTGTAAGTTCTTTTAAGCTATGACAACATGCACAAAACAATGCATCTGGGGTATATCTACTAAACACAGATTTTTATATTTTTAAGTGTGTAATGGATCTTTAAATACTAACATATTTGAATAATATACAAAAAGAAAGAGAGATATGTTTTTGTTGTTTTTTTGTTATTTGTTTTCTATGTATTCCATTGTCAGCACCATCACCGGTGCCATCAATTTTCATGCTGTAATCTCTGCCAGTATCATATGCCGGGAGTTATCTCGCTGTTATATCTTTGCTCTATACTGAGAATATAAGCTAAGACTATAAAATGGGCCTCTACAGAAGATCTTACAAAATGGCTGGTAACAGATGAAATACGAATTAAACACATGTCCATAGTGTTAGAGTAAATTCAGCACGTACATAGTGACTATACTCAGCAGTTTTACATCACATAAATCATTTATGCGTCTCACTGTGTTGAAATCACTATACTTTAGCAAATGTCATTCTTTCCCTTTCAGCATAAGTTTCAAACAAAATTGAATTGAGTTTTTCAACATTCCAGTTGTCATATTTTGATATACACATGCACGCGCTCAAACACTGACACACACGCACACAACAGGCACGGCTCTGTATCTGAATAAACATTTGAAGAATAAGATGAATGTGCTCTTTTACTCTGATTGGTTTTGAAATCTGCAGTAAAGAGCTCTCAATCATTCTTCTACCTTGTGAATTTGTTGCCAGATTTCCCATCAACGCTGTGGCTAAGAAAATGCCAAAAATATGTGTCTATGAAGGATTCATAGCTTATTGCTTTTGCTTGGGATATGACTCCAAGTAGGCGTTTAACCCTTTCTGCATACTTGTCTTCCACACATAGATTTTAACAGGTTTTTTCTTTTTCATAAAAAACAGGGGGTTTATTCACTAAACAGCTAGTTATGGCGAGTTGCTACTTTGAGCAATTAATCTGCTTTTACACAGTTACTTGATTCTTGGTCTTATAATGTTGATGCTGCTTACTGAGAATTTAGCTACAGGTAAAAGTCAGCATTAGACACCAGATCTAGGAATTTAAATCCAGCTGTGAATTATATGCTATTATAGAGCTAATCTTAACTTCTTTACCTGCATAGCCTGAATTAAAAAAAATAACTAAATACTGTTGTCCTGGAATGGGAGCATGTGATATATATATATGTTTATTAGTTTTGTGACACAGTATTTAGACAACAAAACTAAAACGTCTCTGTCACCCCCCAAAAAAAACATTTTTGTGCATTCTCCAAATGTAAACTCTTTATGAAATGCTTGTAAAGACTGTTGGAATTTTATTAAGATTCCAAGGCAGTCAAAAGACAATATACTTTGTCTTATGTAAAAAGGTGGGGCTATCGCTCTCCCCAGCTGTTGCTAGCCACTGCTTTGGGATAAGGCAATGTCTCACTCACGAGAAGACAATATCTGTGGAGGCTCCTTGCTCACGTGCAAGAGTACAGCACTGATGTGGACTCTTGGAGGATGAAACAGAGGACAGCATCAGGTTAGTACAATCACCTCTGCTGCACCCCAAACAGCGATGTTACTATCGGGGGTCTTTGCAAAATCTGCAAAAACCCAGAACGGGAAAGAGACACTTTAATCGTCTTTCTATTCAGTTATACATTTGATTACTAAAACTAAATGTTATCAGTCTGAGTTCCCATTTTAACTTCATGAACCAACCCACCAACTCCCGGTAAAGCAGGCATTTCAAACTCCAAACCCCCAGATGTTGCTGAACAACTCTGACCATCTACTGCATTCAAGGAATTATTGGACTTGTAGGCCATAAAAATATGAGAAAGTTTGAGATTCCCACTCTAAAGGTTCTTGGTGACCTTGTACTTTGCATAGTAATTAAACAGTAAATGGGTAATCACTTGTTGTCTGCATCAAGTCTGCACTTGAGACTTAAAATAAATAAGTTGACAAATCCCACAATTCTTTAACCCGGTGTATGTATTTTATTCAGATCCAAAAAGTGGTTGAACAAAAATTCCAATATTTGTAGAAACAAAAAGAAAAAAAAGTTGCAATGGATTCATACTTTAATGCAACATAATCTCAATATGAATGTAGAAACATTTTATTAGTCCTGTAAATTGTTTCAATATACAGGGAGTGCAGAATTATTAGGCAAATGAGTATTTTGACCACATCATCCTCGTTATGCATGTTGTCTTACTCCAAGCTGTATAGGCTCGAAAGCCTACTACCAATTAAGCATATTAGGTGATGTGCATCTCTGTAATGAGAAGGGGTGTGGTCTAATGACATCAACACCCTATCAGGTGTGCATAATTATTAGGCAACTTCCTTTCCTTTGGCAAAATGGGTCAAAAGAAGGACTTGACAGGCTCAGAAAAGTCAAAAATAGTGAGATATCTTGCAGAGGGATGCAGCACTCTTAAAACTGCAAAGCTTCTGAAGCGTGATCATCGAACAATCAAGCGTTTCATTCAAAATAGTCAACAGGGTCGCAAGAAGCGTGTGGAAAAACCAAGGCGCAAAATAACTGCCCATGAACTGAGAAAAGTCAAGCGTGCAGCTGCCACGATGCCACTTGCCACCAGTTTGGCCATATTTCAGAGCTGCAACATCACTGGAGTGCCCAAAAGCACAAGGTGTGCAATACTCAGAGACATGGCCAAGGTAAGAAAGGCTGAAAGACGACCACCACTGAACAAGACACACAAGCTGAAACGTCAAGACTGGGCCAAGAAATATCTCAAGACTGATTTTTCTAAGGTTTTATGGACTGATGAAATGAGAGTGAGTCTTGATGGGCCAGATGGATGGGCCCGTGGCTGGATTGGTAAAGGGCAGAGAGCTCCAGTCCGACTCAGACGCCAGCAAGGTGGAGGTGGAGTACTGGTTTGGGCTGGTATCATCAAAGATGAGCTTGTGGGGCCTTTTCGGGTTGAGGATGGAGTCAAGCTCAACTCCCAGTCCTACTGCCAGTTCCTGGAAGACACCTTCTTCAAGCAGTGGTACAGGAAGAAGTCTGCATCCTTCAAGAAAAACATGATTTTCATGCAGGACAATGCTCCATCACACGCGTCCAAGTACTCCACAGCGTGGCTGGCAAGAAAGGGTATAAAAGAAGAAAATCTAATGACATGGCCTCCTTGTTCACCTGATCTGAACCCCATTGAGAACCTGTGGTCCATCATCAAATGTGAGATTTACAAGGAGGGAAAACAGTACACCTCTCTGAACAGTGTCTGGGAGGCTGTGGTTGCTGCTGCACGCAATGTTGATGGTGAACAGATCAAAACACTGACAGAATCCATGGATGGCAGGCTTTTGAGTGTCCTTGCAAAGAAAGGTGGCTATATTGGTCACTGATTTGTTTTTGTTTTGTTTTTGAATGTCAGAAATGTATATTTGTGAATGTTGAGATGTTATATTGGTTTCACTGGTAATAATAAATAATTGAAATGGGTATATATTTGTTTTTTGTTAAGTTGCCTAATAATTATGCACAGTAATAGTCACCTGCACACACAGATATCCCCCTAACATAGCTATAACTAAAAACAAACTAAAAACTACTTCCAAAAATATTCAGCTTTGATATTAATGAGTTTTTTGGGTTCATTGAGAACATGGTTGTTGTTCAATAATAAAATTAATCCTCAAAAATACAACTTGCCTAATAATTCTGCACTCCCTGTACTAATGTGATATTCCTTTAACCCCTTAAGGACACAACTTCTGGAATAAAAGGGAATCATGACGGAATATTAACATCATGTGTCCTTAAGGGGTTAAATGGCAGTATGGATCCCTATTACCTATACCCATCAAATATCTTACTTTGCAACATACAGTGGTTCTGATCTATTACCCAGATTAACAATCCAGAAATTAGGTAAGGTTTACTTGAACACTGATGATGCAGTTATAATCAGGGGGCTCTTAATTGAGTTTAAGTTTTGCTAAACATAAAATCCTTTGGATTGATCTGATACCACTGTTCTAAAATATATCTGCTTTTTAATTCAACCAAGAACGAAATTCCTCTTCTATCTACTTGCCTTCCCTGGCTTCTCAAACATCTAAAAAAAATATTACTACTATTTGAAATTGTTAAAGGGAAAAAGAGGTCCAATTAAGCTTTTTATATTTCATATCTAAGGCACATTTATAATAAAATGATTGTTAATATTCATACATAGAAATGTGAGGAACGGCATAGCAAAGTTCTGGTAAGGTTCCTTTTTAACATGAATTAATATGATGAAAAGCAAAGTCTTTGCTCAAATAGAAAAAAAAAAGCTTCAGGCAAAAGCTGAATGGTAAATATTTTATTACAATAATCTCCTTACCAGATACAAATGTAGAGAAGGAATTCATTCAATCTCCAAGTTTTCCCACACTCATATTACTTTAATGTAAAAATTAAGCCAAACATACTAAAGACTTAAGAACAAAACTTAATATTAATTAAATTGGTAGTCATCAATATGCAGAGTTGCATTAAAAAAATTGTTTGGTAAAGTATTGCCCCGTTTTTTTAAGATAAAGCAGCTCTGTCATGGGATATTCATATTTTCATCACTGCCCCCCAACTCTTATGTTTCTAAATGTCCCCCACATGTATTTTTTTTTCTTTCATTATTTTTTAATAATATGATTCTGGTGCTGAATCTCAAAGTGGTATCCTGTCAGTGACACATAGTCTTTGCCTTAATTTTCTCTTACTCTGTTGCTATGGAAATTACACTTGCCATGTATGCCAAGGAGCCCAGAGGCAAAAGCAACTGTAGTGGGCATGCACTCAGGGTCGCACATACCCAGCAGAACTTTGCCCAGAGCATAACTCTGCCTCCATCGGCCTACCTTCTTCCCATAGTGCATTCTGTTGATATCTCTTCCCCAGGTAAAGGGCATGCATACACCTGGCCATCCACCTGATCTAAAAGAAAATGTGATTTATCAAACCAGGTAACGTTCTTCCATTGCTCCATGGTCCAGTTTTGACACTCATATCCCTGCTGAAAGCACTTTTAGCAGTGGATGGGGTCCATCATGGGCACTCTTATTGGTATGCATCTACACAGCCCCATACCCAGCAAGCTGTGATGCACTGTGTGTACTGACACCTTTCTATCATGGCCAACCTTTGCTCTCCACCTGCATTAAGAAACCTTGGGCGCCTATGACCCTGATTCCAGTTCGTAGGTTGTCCTCCTTGCACCACTTTTGGTAGTTACTAACCACTGCATGTTTGGAACACCCCATAAGACTTGCCATTTTGGAGATGCCCTGACTGAGTCATCTAGCCATCTCTATTTAGCCCTTGTCACAGTTACTCAGATGTTTTCGCTTGCCCATTTTTTCTGCTTCCAACACATGAAATTCATGGACTTACTATTCACTTGCTTCCTAATTTATCCCCTTGACATGTTCAGTTGTAACTAAATAATCAATGTTATTCACTTCACTTGTCAGTGGTGTTAATGTTCTGGCTGATCCCAGATATGTACATTTATTATATTTGTAGACTGTGATACAGGTGTACTGCTCTTAACAACACAATATTTATTAGACTTGTGCATCCGATTTTAAGCAAATTGTGATTCATCTGGATTTTAAATGATCGTGCAAACTCTGAAATGCTATATGGACAAATCATGAAACAACTTAATCACACAATGGACCGGCAAATTCCATATCTCCAAAGCGTCATACAGACATACAAGCAAATGAATAGTGTGATGGACAAGCATGTTTGTATACTTCAAGATTTGGAGTTCACTTGTGGAGCCAAAAAACATTATTGATAACTAGGAGATAGCCACTAAATGTGGATTTTACTCACAGACCAAGTGAGAAGTGACCAATAGACTGAAAAGAGGAGGACCAATATATAAATTAATATAGATGTTTAAATGCTTCGCCTCCTTTTTTCCTCTTTTGGTTACTTTTCCTCACTTGATCGAGGAACAAATGGCATTAAGTACATTTTGCAGTGCACTGATTGGCCCTTTTCGTAATCTTCTGTGTTTGATGGATTCAATTTCCCAAATATTTAACCATATTTGGATTAGACAAACTATCAAATCAACAAGTGTCAAATGTCCTAAACTAAATTTCATTTTTGGAAAAATGGTTCCTCTGTGTTTTGTTTGTTTTTTAAGTCTGGGCATATGTGATACATGGTTCACATACAATTTAGAGTTGTTAGTAAAGTCATTACAGTCATGAGCTAGTCTGCATAGTGTAGGGCAGTGAGAATGAACTGTGGCTCTGATTTGTTAACCATTGAATACCTTCATCTACCGACTTAGCTTACTAGGTTATGTGCATAATATCTGCCATTGATCAACACAGAAAGACAATATGGTCAAAGGCAACATCTTGTGAAAAAAGTATATCAATATCAAATGTTTTTAGAAATGTGATCTCTAACAAAAAATGGTATAAAAGTTTGAGAGCTTCATGGCAAGGTGCACGAGATGACATTTGTAAGGTGAATTGAGGCTCTTGACAATAAAAGAGTTAAGTTTCAGTGTGTATTCCATTTAGATTGTTAGAAAATAAAGATAATGCAACAGATAAAAGCAAATATCTAACTTTAGACGGCGAAATTCTGCAAAATGTGATCAAATGTATAATATAAAATGGTGTAGTATAACCAAACCCATCCAG